AAAATCAAATCAGAGCTTTCGAAATAAAGGTGCTGAGAAAGACTTATAGTCCCAGCTACTACAACTTCGTAACGGTGAAGATGCTGTAAAGTTTGCGAAGTCGCAGTGGTTGAGCTGAATGGGACACGTCACGAGAGTAGAAGACGCCGCACATTGACCAGAAGTAGACTACGTATAAGATCGCTTGACAACGTGATGAACGACATCAGAAAAATAGATATCCAAAATTGAAGGTCTTAAACAACATGCAAAGCAGAATAGAGAAACCTGGTTGATGTAGCTAAAGCTCACCCCGGGCTTGTAACGCTGATGATGATGATGATTGTTGTTACTTATTTTTTTTAATGTATCTCTTATTAGTGATCACACGTATTAATATTTTTAATTTGATCCCTGTTTTGTTTGCTTTATTCTACGTTGAGGGTGTGAGAAATTTGTACCGTATAGAAAACTGCAATACAGATCATAGACAATTTTGTATTTGCTGTAATGCATTCTGCTGAAATAAACTGTTAAGGCAAATTTGAACGTTTTTTTGTTTAAAATTGTTTGTAAATTAAATATATATTTTAACAAAGGACGTTTATTCACTATGTTAACAAACGAGAAAATTAATCATTAATAATCGAAAACAAATTTTATTCAGTTTTCACATCACTTTCGGAATCAGCGAAAGAAATCTAAGATTACGACGACAAGCAACTACTGACTGATAACCATCCGGCTCTACTGTGGGCTGATGAGTTTCCGACACTGGCCTGTGAGGAACCAAAACATCCCACCCAACCGACGATGAAAGCTGCCGCAACTTCCTCTGCCCGAAGAGGAATGGCCGAAAGAGGAACCGCAACTGGCCATCGAGAAAAACGATTAATGCAATAATCAATAATAACAGTTCCTCTGAGACAAAAGCAATGGGCCGACAATATCAACATCAATATGCTGAAACCGACTATCAGCATCAGCAAAAGAACCAATCGGTGTTTTAGTATGTCACTGGATCTTTGACTTCTGAAACGCGATGCAACTACGTACAAACACAGCCACATCTCTACCCAAACCAATCCAAGCTTGCACCAACTTCCGTGTCGCTCGAACACCTGGATGAACCAAAGCGTGAAGTTTTGTAAACACCAGCTGCAACAATTTGAGAGGATAAAACGGAAAACAACACTGCCGGACATTTCACAGTACAATTCAGTACCTGAGTCCAGCCGCCTTTACTGAAGAAAAATCTCAGTCAGTGACTTTTTGAATTTCCCGCGCAGTTGCTTCAAATGCAACAGTGCTGTTGTCAGCTGTAATCTAACAGTGGGCAAAATTTTTAACCAAGCTACGTCGTTCAGTTGGTATTTGATAGCCGTTCAAAGCAGACAACCTCGTGAAGGTTGTCTGCACTGTTTATAAGCTGCACTGGCTCATTAGTAACAGATCCTCCCTATGCCAAGAGTATAAAGTACTCCTGTATAACAGCATCATGAAATCAATATGGAGTTATGGTATCCAGCTATTCGGTAATGCTAGTGCTTCAAATATTGAAATTATCCAAAGAGCTCAGTCAAAAATACTGAGAACAATCACTGGAGCCCCATGGTATATTAGGAATGAAAGTACCCATCGAGATCTACAAATTCCAATAGTTAAAGGTGAATTTGATAATACAAGAAAAAAAATACAATAAAAGGTTAACAGAATATGCTAACCCCTTAGCGAGGAAACTCGCATTTCAAACCAGTATATCCCGCCTAAAAAGAGCTGACCGTCCAGTCATTAATTAAAATTCAATAGATTCAAATAAATACCCCTCTCTTATTTTTAGTAATTTCATAAAGTTAATTTAATTTCTTAATAATACACATCATACTCTTTCCACTGAAATTCAAATTTTATTTTATTTTTTTACATAGATTATTTTCTTTTTATTATTTTCTTTTTATTTTATGTCGTTAAAAATACTTCAGTGGAATATTAAAGGCTATATAAATAATTATTTTGAACTACAACTTTTAATCAAAGATATAAACCCAGATATTATTGCTCTGCAAGAAACTCATATACATATGTTAGGTTTCAATAGAAACAACATAATAACACCTAAAAATTATGTGGGATATTTTCACAACCTTCCCATAAATACTACAGCCAAACAAGGCATATTCCACATAAACATATATACTACAACTCAAACATTTGTTCAATGGCCATTACAATTAATGCAGGCTTTGTTTGTAAAATAATTAATTTATATATTCCGCCTCAACAATTAATTTCGGCACTTGATATTAGAAATTCTTTTAATAATATTAATACTCTTTTTATTGTTACAGGAGATTTTAATGCCTGGAGTCCTTTATGAGAACTCCAGGCACTTCAATGTATGCAATAGCAGGGGTAAAATTATTGAAGATGTCATTTTAAGCGAAAACCTCCTTATTTTAAATGATGGGTTTTTCACACATTTTTCTACTCGCAACACATTTTCTCACATAGATCTTACAATTTGTTCAGACGCCCTCACACCTATATGTGCCTGGAACATACTTCAAAATCTGCACGGCAGTTATCATTTTCCTATTGTAATTAGCTTACTATCAAATCTCCAATATGATAAATTTAACCCAAGACTAAAGTTCAAAACCGATTTTGCGGATTGGGACAAATTACAACAACTTTGTAAACAAAACAATAACAAATTTAATATAGCAAACGAAAATAATAAAGAAGCAGCCAATTTGGCTAAAAAAACCATAATTTATTAAAGCCAAAATACCATGGTGGAATTCCAATTTAAAACAACTTAAAAATGGAACAATGTACATAAAATGCAGATTTGACTGCAAATTAAAACTCATTTAGTATACTTATATTCCATATTTATATTGCCTCTCCACTTTTCGACTTGTTTCTTTTATCTGTCATCCATCTTAGCATCAGGTCGTCGCTCTATTCTTATCCAATATTGTTAATGGTTGCCAACTGGAGGTTGATACCACATAAAATTTGTTAATATGTTGCTGATTAGTTTTGGCTAGCACATATCGGGTCCGTAATTGCTACTCACTCAGTAAAAAGCATCAGTACAAGCCGATCTATATATCTGCCGTCTATTTTTAATCCTTTTAGAAGCTTTCGCTAATATTTTCTAGATGTCGGAACTTTTCATAACACTAAATTTTGATAATTCCCTAGTCTCTTCCCATTAAGTCAAATAAGTTCTGATGCACTAGTCATCGCAAATAAATTTGTCCCAATATTAACCAAGTTTGTATTGTCATTGTTAATTCATGTCACGCTGGCACCTGCCAACCACAAATATTTGCACTTACATTAGACGATAATGGGAACTTCCTGTATTTTATCATTGCGAAATTGGTCATCAAAAAATTTTCTTTCTAGCTGTCTTCAGATGCAAACTTCAGCGTTTATTCGGCGCTACCTTCACTTTTTTATTCCTCATTTTTAATGCTAAGAAGTCTGTTTTTCCATCTAAAATGAAACCGTTTTCCAAAAAACCAGAAAACACAAAACTGACACAAACTTGGTGTATTTCAAATTTTTTTTCCTAGAGTTAAAGTTTGCATCACTGAAAACATAGGGCACTTTCAATGATTATATATGTATTTACTTTAGTATGTTAAGTTGTTATTTTCGTTGTTATCTAAATGCAGTGTAAATAGAGTAAAAACTTTTTAATATGAGTTTGTTACATAAAGTCAAATGATTCAGTAATAATTTATTTAAAATTCGCAAAGTTTTTTAATTCAATAATGTGATTATTAATGTCCATAATGATAGTAGTAAAGATACACCAAAAATATATCGCTGAAGTCTTTTCATTGATTTAATAATGTATCACTTTCGGTTTCCGCAGGGTTGGCAATTAACCGCGTCGTCACCATTCATTTTGGAATTCAACTTTACTATCGTTGGTTTAATACGGTCGATAACCGCAGTACAACTGAGTGATCAGAATAGCGGTAAGTTGAAGACTAATCTTAAATAAACAAAAATATTGAACCGTCAAAAGTTGTTATACTAAGCAGTGATATAGCATAACTGTAATGCCCGTAATGGATAAGAAGGGAACCTAAGCCTCAGCTATTGAGACAATTGTTAGAAGGAACTGGGACGGCCAGTTATAGCAGTGTGGGTGTCCGTTGAAGAAAATAGTAACATAAAAATTGGATTCAATTAAAATCTAGTCAAAATTCAATCCAAAGTTATAGACTTCCAAATGTTAGCACTGAATATGAAATAGTAGAAATGTAATATAATTTGTGCACAATCACATATTTTTATTTCACTTCAAATCCTTTTATTAATGACTTATTTATTTTAAACAGCGTAGAAAAAAATTCAAATAATTTGAAAAATATGATTCCTGCACATATTTTATTAAAATATATATTGTTTGAATGATTTGGATTTTGTTCTTTTTTAATCACTAATCACGTGTACTATTTTTAACTCTTAAGCTTCATTCAATACATAGAGAATGTAAAAATATCTAATTATATATTTCGCTAAAATTTGTCTGTATATAAAAAGTAAAATTTAATTTTGTATTATCTTAAATAAATCGAATAACAAAGGTGTGAAATAAAAAATTGCCAAACTCGAAAATACTTTTATATGTAAAATGAAATATTAAAATTGATAACACAATTTGTTTGTTATGAAATTGTTTGAGGTGCGCATTTTACACTGACAAAAGAAATTGAAGTTCGAAAATTCCAAAATTTGCTTTGATTCATTTTTTATTTATAAAAATATTGTTAAAAGTGATGAATTTTTAAGAAAAAGTTAAACAGTTTGTGTTTGTTTTTAAAAATTATTTTAGGAAATTATATAAATTATTTTAATAAAATCTATTAAAATTAAAAATAGTTCAATTAAATTATTTAATTAGTGGAAAAGAAGAAAAAAGTAATTTATATATTTTACATTTGTATATAAATTCCATACCTAAAAATTAATTTGTGAAAAAAATTGTGGAATACGGAAATTTAAAATAAATTTTGTGTTAACCTACATAAATTGTGAATAAATGCAAGAAAATAGCTTTGATATGCAAGTATGAACGAAACGAAAATCACATTCCTTCGGCATGTATCAAGAAAATATTTACTTGTGCTAATATAATGATAAATCGCTCCGATACCAGTGTTCTGAAGTTCTAGTACAGTTATCTAATATCTGCAAGCAGCAATGTTAAAAAACTGATAAATCATAAGGTTAAATAACTTCCCACAATACAAAAATTAAATACAAAAAAAACAAAAAATGCATTTACTAGAGAAGCACCCAAAGTAAGTAAATATGTTAACATTGCTATTTCTAAATCAAGAATGCAGAATTTGGGGTCTTTACAAAGTTATAAGCTTTTCTTAAAGTTCGAATTCGAATTTTAAATGTACTCAATACCGTTTTTATCAAAATTTGGAGCTTTGATATATGTATAGTATAGTAAGAATATGCGCTACAATAAGTTCCAGCGGCAAATGAGATTGTTATATTCATACAGGATATGTGGAAATTAATCAGTTTATTTTTATTTCAATGATACTATCGAATAAATAACTTTCTATAAAACTTTCGGGAAATTCAAAAACAAATTTATGGAAGTTTTTCTCGATAAATTTTTTGAGAGATGTCAATATTAACAAACGCTTCTTTGAGTGATTCATCGCATTCACCGCTTCTTTTATTGAAGAAACATTTTCGTCGAAGTACAATTCGTGCGATATTACCGTTGTTTTGATTTACTTTTGGAATGGTGTTTTATACGTTTTCTTACGAGATCACTTTTTGCTACTTCATATGTCATCTTTTTTGCATTTATCTCCTCAAATCGCGCCATTTATTTCCTCAAATTCGCTGTGGATTGTTCGTTTTTAATAAATGATTGTTCCTTTATCAAAGCATAGTCGAATAAAATAAAACATCATGTTTCCCTACAATAACCGGAAATCAATAAAAGAATATTGTTTTTTATTTACTGTGTCTTTTCTTATCGACATCCATTCCGGGATGTAATCCAATGCCGTATTATCTCTTACGGAACAAAAAACTCTGTTTTAAGATAGCTACATCTTTGAATTTTTCATATATGCAATCAATTGATACTGCACTTAACAAAAATATTAACTTTTCCTACAGACACAGGTTAATAGCAATTAAAAAGTTACAAGCAGTAATTTCTAAAATCTTGTAAGCCGTTTAAAACCTATTTGTCATTATAACGATTATACGACTTTCTTAGCTTATAGGTTATGATACTTATTAATAAGATAAATTGGCTTATATTCAATCACTTCTATGTCACTTCAATAGATGCTTTCTCATATAAATCATTGGAAGTAAACTCTTTTTGACACAATTGCAAAAACTTTGAAAAAATTAACACTTTTGTAATTTGTTTCAAAAGAGGAATTGTATCGCAAAAAAGAACATTCTCATAAGTTTGTGTCTTGTTGGGTAATAAAACTCTCGGATGACACTTATGACATTTTTCAAAAGGTAATCTGGATTCAATCTAGATTTACTCTAGATCTATCAAATTGCTTACTCAAAAATTTTTAAAGTAATCCAAAATTATTGCAATTGTGTTATTACGTTTTCAAAAACTGGAATGGAAGCTTTCCTCGTTTGAAATAGATGACGAAATTGATTACCTTCTTCATATTTTTGGTGAATGAATTAATATGTAATTGATATCATCATACAAATTTAATATAAATTTTAGATAATGATAATAATATCTTCAGTCAAGTTCAGTTGTCTTGTAAATGGATATAAGAAGATATGCAATATGTGCTCTACCAGCTACAAATTGGTTCACTGTGGGAAACTATGAGTTATGAACTATAGAAGCAATTCGCAGGTTTTTATACTGGTACTTAGGTGAAAAGTCGTTACAAGTTTATGGCTAGTAGAACAAAAACAGCGATAGAAAACAGTTTTACAAGCAAAGCTGCATTTATAGAAACGTCGTATAATGACGAAATGCGATTTGTAGAGATTTTCGAAAACCTACCATTGTAGAACACACCATAGAAATGCCCAGTATAAGCTCCTCATCATTGTCCTCCATTCCTTCAACTTCATGTACCGCTCCATCAACAGAGCAACATAAGTATTTTGATAAGTTTTTTGATTTGCAGGAATAAATAGAGGAAATAGGTAACGCAGATACAAGGAAACAATGAAAATTTTAAAAAAGTTTCTTGAAAAATAGATGTATTGTTATAATATCTGCGTCATACAGAAATACAGGTACAGAAATTTTAATATAAATTATTTAATATATGTAAATTACCACAGTATTTGTGTCATACACGCATAGGATGTTAGGTTATTAAGTGTTTCACATATCATTATTTATGCACATTTCTACAGCCTTCATTATATTACAGTTTTTCCAATAATAGGCATTTTCTTTTGTAAGCATTTCACAAAAGAACAAATAAAATAAGCACTACTTGCATGTCAACTCTGGACAAAATAGAGATTTTGTTAGGCTTATATGTTATATGCAAAACACGTAATAAAGTTTAAAGTTAAAATTTCTATAATGAATAATAATTCTTTGCAATTATTGGAAATTTTTTACATGATTGTGAATAAAATGTGAATTTTCATGCGTTTTAAGAGTAAAATATTAAATAAAAAAAAAACTTATTTGTTACGCCACGAAATACGAAGAATTAACGAAACAATTCGTTGACAGTTAACTGGAAAATTAGTATGTACTTCCAAAAATCGTTCACAATAGACATATTTTAAGCCTTGACAACCATGACATTTGAGCTGCTTATTAGTTAAGCGATTTCAAAAAGGTTGGACTAAATAAACCAGCGGTGTTGTTGTTTCATATGTTATTTTTAAACTAAGCAGTTGTTCTTTTGTCAAATAAATAAATTGTAATGTGTGCTAATCAGTTTTAATGAAGGTGTGTTAAATAAGCCAGTAGTGTTGTTGTTTCATATTATTTTTAAAATAAGCGGTTATTTTTTTGCGATATGCTTACAAAATAATAAGCCTTAAGTTGCATTTAGTTGAAATGAGTGTTACCAAGAATGGTAGGTAAACATGACGTAACGCCCTTGAAAGGAAGAGATTTTATGTATGTTCGGCCGCTCTGAATTACGAGAAAAAACAACAAGTCGCTTACTAAAATCTCGCATTTATTTACAAAACAGCAACACTACCCTCTCCACCAAATATACTAATTATGGAGTGTCTAAATACCTCAGAGATTGTATAAAAAAATGTTGGAAGTTTTAACGAATATTCCAGTCATATGTCAAAAATTCAAAAGTTGCTCAAATTTCAAAATTATAAAAAAGAAATATTTTAAGAACATTCAAAATTGTAAAAAATATATATTTTAAAATAGTTCAAAAATAATCAAAGAATAAATGACGAAAATATAATTTCAAAGCATTGTATAAGAGTTAGATAAAATATTATAAACTGTTATTAATTTTGTTGTAGAAGAAATTATAAAAATTTCCTGCATTCTTATTATTGCTTTTATATAATTATTCATTTTAATTTTCAATTTTATATTAATTATTTATTTATATACAAAATGTGATTTGCTTGAATTATGGGCACATATGTAAGATATCCTCTTTGTAATGAGAAAATTTGTCAGCGACTTGTAGTTTATTGCCCTATTTCGGTGCTGCCGAATGCACCTAATAATATATCGTTAATATCTTATATGTATATATTTCTTATATTATATTCTTTTTCTGTTCTTTCTACTCGTTGCTCTCAACTCACACATGATAAAGCATTCCTCCCAAATGCGATATGCCATTTTTTATATCTGCGGTCACTTCATAAGTTTTTCGTGGTCTATCAGTATCACCGATTCTTTCCCCTGAATATCGTCCGTGTTTGAGCTTTTCGACAACTTTGTACAGCCCGAGAAATTTGGGCTTCAAACTGAGTACGCCTAGTAGCCACAACGTGTCTCTTGCACTTAGGTTTTTAATATAAAAATTCTTTTTAATAATGTTTTGAGTTTGTTTCGCAGCAAAATGTGCCTAAAAATGCAAGATTTTTATTATTTCTTGTTTGGATCTTTGTACTATATGTCACATTTGATATAATAGTTATCGTAATTGCTTTTCTCTAAAATTCTTCTATCTGTTCAAATGCATTCGTCTAGCAATTGCACCTCTTTAACTCTATGTTACAAAGCACAAAGCAACGTGCCTCATTTTAAGACCTGTGTGGTGCTCAATCACACAATCGAATTGTTGTATATAGATGGACGATCTCGCTACTCGTTGTGGAAGATCATCTTTGTTCATAGTCATCACAAAAAAATTGCAGTCGGTCAATGTTTTTAACTTCGTACCCAAACAAACACGCTCCATTTTTTTAATGCCTATCATCGCTAGAACTTCTAATTCATGCGAGTGATCATTTTATTTTGTAGGGTGTTTTTTTTTACTCATGGAGTGGACTGGATGTAATTGCGCATCATGAACATCGTTTTGCAGTAATACGATACTTACTTGCATCAGCATGAATCTCGGTGTATGCTTTCGGGTCAAAGCATGGGCTAGTTAATGCCGTTATAAATTGCTCTAATGCCCATCATTGACTTCGTAATTAAGGCATACTGCGGAACAAATCGTGTGAAATATGACGTCAGATAATGCTGAAATTTCTCGTTATTCCGTGACATTAGAAAATCATCTATCTGTGGATTTTTGAAAAGGCGACTACCGGATGGACCCAAAGTAGTTTGTTTCGTTTCTGGTGCCATTCTTTTCAGCTTTCACTTCCATTCTGCAATCAAATGATCGATAGCCCATTTGGTTATATTTAAAACATTTAATAAATCTATTCTGACAGTTTTTTTGCGTAATGTAAAGCCTAACCCATGAATAGCATTTTTTTATATTGATTAAAATCTGCCTTTCCTTGCTTGATGGCACGAACTCGGTTTTATTCCTGTTCGTATACAGATACTTTGTAATTAACGCTTTAATTTTCTCGTCAGTTCTTTGGAGCCTTTAGCGTGGTATGGCACCATATTATTTATTTTTGAACCAGTTATCCCTTCTATGCAGTATTCGATTAAGCTGGATTCACCTAAATTCGTTGCCTTACGATAAACATCAGTTGATGACATACGCACTGTAAAATCGTTCCTTAACGTTTGATTCAGCGTGTTCGAATTGCCAACAACGGATAAATAATTTTGAATTACCTTTCAATAGCTGCTTTGCGTGAATGAATTTCTGCATTTCGTTCCATTGTACTGCTGTAGCGTTGTCTTCAAAGT